TTGTGTCTGTCTGTCTTTTCTACATCCGTGAATCACTCTTCTGTCCCCCTTCCCGAATTGTTCCCACTTTGATTTTCCTCCCACTGCGAAGCCCAAAGTCAGCTAAATGGCTAATGATAAATATTCAAAACGCCTGCCATTTGAAATAATGATAATAATAATAATATTTCATGTGCTATGAATCACCTCGTGAGAATGAAGGTGCACAATAGAGAGATATAGAGAATGAGATAGATGGTGTAAGAAATGAGTTAGGCATGGTCCTTGCGTAATGGGCAAATGGACTTTCGGTTAAAGGCAATCTGATCAACAATCTGATTCAAACGGACATAACAAAAGAATAGTGAAAGTGCGCTTAGGGAGGACGTTTATGTGAATCTTAAGCGGAACAATTCTGGTCAACACTTCTCCAACTAGAAATACACCCAGGTTAAGGGATGTTCCACTTTGATGAGAGTTTGTGTTTAGTATCATTCAAATCAATGAAGGGAAAATTTTTACTGAAGCATTACCTAATTAAAAATTTTAAAGTTCTTTAAAGTACTGCGAATAGATATTGTAAGATGGTGGGATAAATTTAGGGGAGTACTATAACGTTTAAAGTGCAATCAAAGAATCAAGATTACCTTCGATGGAATGGCTACAAGATCTTGTAGAAGTCCTCGCAGATCTGTGAGAACGTTGCGTAAAGATGCCAGACGGAAATCCCATTCGATTCGAGCCAATTGGTCGGGCGTACTATCTCCAGGCCCTGAGAGATTGCTATTCACCGACTGAGCGCTTACATCCAAGCACATCTGACGCAGCTGTTGGTATATCTATGGAAAAGATGATAAGCAATACTTACTACTTAAATCTACAAGTAGAAAGTGAATGAGATGGAATTTACCTCGGCTACTTCAGTGCGGAAACTTTCCATGAATTCGCCTTCAGAAGAGCTAACTAGATCCAAGCCGTTCGAGTCTAGTTTGATCTTTAAAGCGTTACCGGTTTCTTCGTTTTCAATCAACCCTCCATTGGTTTGCAAGTCACCATGAAGAGAGGCATCATCAATTTCAATACCATCATCTTCGTAGAATTCTGTCATTGAAGGGTCTAGTTGGATATGCTTGTGCCACCATTGATCCTCCTAAATTTAATCAGTTTTTGCATTTAAAATAGTTACTTTTATCAAGTATTCCACTGAGTTTGTTAATTCACGTACTGGCCATGGATAAATAAGTTTTGATTCTGACGATATTTCTCAGAAAGAAAGGGTTACTTATCTGAGGTAATTGTATTTTATTCTAATTACATTATGGCGTTATTTTTTCAAATCTTAAATAACAATTAGTAAACGATTTTCAGTTGGATTACCTCACTGTCTTGATTCAGAGCAGATAGTTCGCCCATCAGTGACTGATGAGGATTCGAATACTGTCCACCGGATTTCCCACTATCATTGGAAGTTCCTTCATTTAGAGCAGGGGATGCTGCTGAGTTCAGCGTCTGCAAATGATTTTTCAATAGAGCAGTAGCTTTTTGTAACTGTTCCAGTTCACTTTCCTGATGGGATATCTGAAGGTGACATATTACGGCATTAAATTAAACGTAAATCCATAAGGAATGTAGGTGCAGTATTTTGTATTCAAATTGCAATCCTTTCAAATTCAATTCGAATGAAATGGAACCTTACGTGTAATTTGTAGTACCGAAACAGTACTAGTGTATCTTTTACCCCCAATCCCTCTCCCCCCTCTCATATATGTCGTCTTCTTGGTCTTCTGTACTCCGTTAGGCAATAGTTCTTTGAGGAGTTATCATGCCTGATCAGTTTCGCTTCTAAAGTGGGCGTACTTGGGAATCCCGCTACTTTTTTGGCGATCACATCTCCTGGAAACAACCCTCCTACTTTATTGGAGAACACAACTTCAACTGGGTCCGCAGAAAATGTGCTCTCATCACAACCCATTCTATCATATTAAATTTTATACAATGTGGGGTGTGCGATAGACTTATCTCCACGTGGTGCACCCTGTGCAACGTATACTCATACGCCAAAAAAGTCTATTAACCGGCAGTTGACTTCTGGCATTAAACTACCATCACCCCACTGTATGTCATATTCGACCACTTCCACAGTATTCATCTCACCTTTTTTCCACCTTATCTACCTTCGTCTTTGATACACTCTTCTGTCCCCCCCCCCTCTTGAATTTTTACACTTTGGTGTTCCTCCCCCTCTGTGAAGCCTGAAGTCAACTAAAGGGCTAGTGATAACCATCAAAACGCCTGCCATTTGATATAATAATAATTTAATAAGGCAAATTTGAATGTAAATAGCTGACAGTGCCTAACTGAACTACATTGTACGCAATGTGATTACATTCCTTGATTGTGTGTTGGGCCTTTTTAAATCACAAAACACACAATTAGTGTTTTGTCTGACTTAGCAGAGTGTTATTTTTCCTACAGGAAGTTCTTTCTTAACCGGTTAATGTGAACATGTGTGCAAATTTCAAAATTTAAACTTTGGACTAAATCAATTTTTGGTCAGTATAGTTAGAATAAATGGTGGATAAATCAATTGACTTTCCAAATTTAATTATACACTACATTTTATACATTCTTCGAACTTCAATTTTTTATGGCTTTCAATAAAAGGCTACTTTAATCACCGATTGCTAGAATGTTTTTCAGCTTGCAATAGAAAAGTAAGGAATATGCATAAAAGATGGTTTCTAAAATTTGTAAGTGCAAATTTTATTAAACTTGTACTTTTTAAAATTGTAAAACTTCATTTCTTAAGCGAATCACGAATGCGGTTTAATCTGAGAGCAAAACTTACACCTTATTCTCGGGTCCACTTAAATCGGAAGGGCTATGTCATTCTCTGGATGACAACCAGGAAATACACAAACGTGTTCAAATACTATCTTTTGGTAAATCTGACAACATAAGGAAGACATTTGAGAACAAAAAACAAAAATAGGTGACAATAAGATTCACATAAAACAGTGTCGAATAAGGAAGCCATATCCAAGTGCTCTTTTACGATGAGAGAAGGGAGAGAGAGAGAGAGAGGGAGAATGCAGAGGAAAACGAGGAAACACAAGAAGAGCAGCTGTGTCTTTGCCAGACGATGTATGATTTCTTCGGTTATTTGCTGTATTCGGGCTAACCAACCAGGTGGAGAAGTTGTTCCTCAAACATGGCAATAATAAGCATGATTCCAGCTCCTGCTATAAGGCCAGCGTTCTGAACAATCAGTTGTACAATTCGACTCTGGCCGGGTTTTACTTGGAATGAATTCAGTTCTGGCAACTATAAGATAAAAATGAATTGGATTTCGATGAAAAAGCTAACTTTTTATTATTTTTGCAGGGGGTGTGCGATAGACTTACCTCCACGTGGTGCACCCTGAGCAACGTATACTCATATGGCAAAAAAGTCTATTATTCGGCAGTTGACTTCTGACTTCAAACTACCATGACCCCATTACATTTCATATTCGAATAATTCCACAGTATTCACCTCACCTTTTTTCTATATTTGTGTCTGTCTGTCTTTTTTACGTCTGTGAATCATTATTCTGTTCCCCTCTCGACTTTTTACCAGTTGGATGTTCATCTTCCTTTCTGTGAAGCCCGAAGTCAACTAAAGGGCTAATGATACCTATCATAACACCTGCCATTTGAAATAAATAAATTATTTTTGCAGAATACAATGAGAAGGACTTGACATTACGTGATATTAACTTAATCAAATCTTAACGAAAATTCCATTCTCAGCCTTCAAACGTGTCAATGAAAGGTCGATTTTTAAGATATTTGCCGCATGACTCTGACAAAAATAACCCTTGATTTTTTTAAGGCTAAGTCAAGTAGGTTGTTTTTTTCCATATTTTTTTGACAACGGAGTAACACAAATTTTTATGACGCGATGACAATGAAAGATGTGATATTCTTATAATACAAGAGGCACCATTTCAGGTTTACCTTATTTGCAAAGATGGTTTTGCTGACATTCACTTGTACCTTTTAAAATTGTAACATGCATGGAAAAATAATTTGTATTATTGATGAGTGACTAATAATAATTTAATGTATATGAAAGTTTGTAGGTGCCACTTAAGTTCAATGATTTATGAAAGTCCTTAGGGTTAACAGTCATTAAATGTAGGAAGAAACATTTTTACTGGTTGGTCACCACTTGGAGTTAGAGTTTTGAAGGTCAATAGAAAGATAATATACTGTAGGGTTTAATGTGCGCCTGTTATAAATAAGCGGTGAAGTGAACATGATAGCATACACGATTTTGGATACAAATGCTTGAATTTTCGCCCTGAAGTACCTGAAAGAATACTACTCAAACACAGCAGAATGATTACAAAGAGGCTAGAGGTTTTGCAATCCAAGTCAAGTTGATAACAGAAAGTAGACTAACTGCGTTTTAAGGATTTGTTCTGTGCAATTGACTGTAGTTGAGTATAATGTTATCTGCCACTTTGGCCTTATTAGCGAAACGAATAACATGTTTTTTTCAACTTCCTCCGTTTCCATGCTTTTCTGCAGCTATTAGAGTTGGTAGTGGAATCAAATTCAAGGGCCCAAGTACATCCCGCAGTATCAAACAAACCTAGCATTTAATCAAATACTTACGCATCTTTCGATCTCATTCAATTAATTAAAA